GTTTTACGTTCAAGCCGGTTTAGCGATAAAAAAGCAAACTGCTTTTTTACCTCCTTTAAATTTCAGCACGACAACACGGGTGGAACTTGAGAACAGACTGTCATTTTGTTCGAAGACTCCAGCAAACTGAAAATCGTACGTCTACATAGCAACAGTAAAAGAACAAAGACCAAATCATCCCCACTTTCCTGACATGTTCTACAAAAAGGCTACCGAATACAGCCGAAGAATGTTTATATTATTAAGTAACGGGAGCGCAAAACAAATTTTCGTCAAGCGTAGTTAATGCATTCTCGCGTTTCCCTGAGTAGGGCTGCATGTTGTATGAACTCAAATTACGTATAAAAGTGGAGTTCCCAGTGTTTCTCAGCATGAAGCATGGCACTCCACTGAAAAAGATACCAACAAACACATCGAATTCGACCCAGGCTATCGACCACTGCAAGCTAAAAAATTACGGAACTACAGTACACAGAGGCGGACAAACCAGACGAAACAAATAGTCAGGCTGAAGTACAGAAATGATCAAGAATAGAAATCGCCATCACAACCAACTAAATCCAAGAAAGGAAGACCATGACGCAACACAAACCGGAAATGGTTCAGTCGAAAACGGAAATCCATCCAACCGACCATTGGATGATCAGGCATATAGACCACAACGCAGTGCTAATCATGATCGGGGCAATAATGGTACGAGAAGGGTATATGTCAATTAGCCAGTAGCATGACAGAATATCAGATACTCCTCAGAAACTATATAAACGCGGCTAAACACGGATAGAGCGCTGATGATGTCTTCTCGGCTGAAGGCGAAACGTTTGCAAACCAATTGCCAAGATCGGCGAAAAAATAAACTACAATCTGATCAACCACCAGTTACCCAGCACTGTATGTTTTAATCCACCTTGTGTGGACAGACAGAAGGGGGACGCGGTGTCCTAATGCAACAACCACCGAGAAGATCTTGTTATATGAGTGAATACAGCTATCCGAATACAATAACCAGAGAAGTGTATGGATGAGCTTCAAGTGGCTAAGCAAATAAGGCTGGGTGCTACTGTTTGGAAGGCCACTGGTTCGAACCCAACCCCGGCTTTTCGACTGCTCTCACCTATGCACGGGCAACCTGGCATTGGCTCAGTCCTCGCCCGTCTTTCGAGCTGCATGGCAGACATGCAGCAAAATGGTGTTCTGGCCAAGTCGCCATAGTTCATGGAACGAACCAACAAGACTGACACGCACGCGCGAATCCAAACATCGGAATACTACAAAGTGCTACTGCACATGAAGATTACTCTTAAACTCAGTTCATGGTCGCAAACGATGGATAGGATTGAGGACTTCGAGGTGGAGTCTGACCCTCCAAGTCAGGAGGTTGTTCATTAGTCACAGGACTGGTTGATCAATGTAGGGTACATACCTCTCAAGACAAGGTGGCTTACAGAATCCAACAATGTGATTACGAAGGGTTCAAACCCCAGGTTAATAACTGTCATTAATCCCTTAACCACCCTTGCCGTTCGAATGATAACCCAGGCCCGAACAATCGTGCTGGTGATGAGAACGATATTTTATTTCGTGGTGTAGGATTTATCGCTTTGCGAAAATGGAACTGTTAGCTTAGACTAAAAACCGAGTAAACTTCCTCCTTTGATCTTTGGTAAATGAAACAAATCATCAGTGCAAAATGGGAAAACTTATCGGATAGAAACCGTGCTCACATGGCTGAATTTCTTCGTGTCTGTCTGCAAATACTCGACCCAAATGCGATGAGCCGAGAAATGAAAAAAAATTATCGGTTGACGGCACAAATAACATCGGAAAGGGTATGCCTAAACACCATTGTTCAAAAGCCAATAAGTGAAGGCAACAATGCATAGGCATATTGTAGGTGACTGTGGGATGCGTCGAATTCAAGTTCACATCACTCTCGTTTGAACTGCCCTCCTTCAGCCATGAAACAGTTATTTTAGTGCGTCAACACCAAAAGGAAGAAGCAATGAACTCGAGATTCGCCCCTATTGGACATAATCAGCAATGCATATTTTTGCCCTTGCGCAGGTTTGGACTCCGGACACATGACATGTGACGCCAGTATTTCACGACTGTTCCATAAAACACATGCTGAGCACGACTGGATTATTACATCTGGAAAGTTGAATGTGCTCACGCTTGAGCGATGTGATTGGTTTGCCCGACTCCTCAAACGACAATCCAGTAAATGTTCTGATGTATGGTGCAACAGAATGCCAGTAGTACTAATATGCCTGTCGCGTTGATAAACTAGTAAGTACGATCATCTGAGGGTTGCGCAATCTGAAAAAAGTGATATTGTTCCAGCGTCACGGAGACTGCACAACAGACTACTTGTAAGAATTCTAATGACGTCTCGATGGCCCACTACCGGTTTCGCCCACCTTGAAACTCTAGGTAGGCATAGTCCTCCAGTCACCTTCAAACTTGTCTCTTTTAAGATTAAATTTTAAGCAATTTATACGTGGAAGTTGCATTTTTTCGTTAAAGGGTGACTCATCCGAATACCTGGTTTGTGGTATTCTTCAACCTCATGAGTAACATGTTATATCATAGAAATTCGTGGGATTCTCTTGGATCGAGTGAAACCGGAAACGGTTTCTGAGAAGCAATTTCAGTTGAAGGACATTATAAACAAGAGATCCGGTTGGGTCTCTTATCAACAGGAAAGTATTTTGCCAGTCAGCTTATTAGCCAACCTCTTGTTCTCAACAGTAAACTGTTTGGCAACTGCCAGAGAGCAGTCTGATTGGTAGATGTCCAGGCATTTGGATTTCAATGGCCTAAACCACTAAACTCAGTTACCAGACGATCTCACCAAAACTAGGCTCGGATTCATTTCAAGCTTTCACCCTTCAACTCCCATACCAACGAATGCAGTGTAGCTGGTCCCATGGACCAATAAAGTTCCGAGACAAAGCCTTCCATCATGTTTCGCAGCTGTATGGCTCAATGAGACCGCACTGAAAACATACGCCCGGTATCCCTTTGTCCTGGGTGCAGTTATATAAGAGCTTATTCTTTCCTGGGACCCGGATCCATTAACCAGCTTCAAGAATAGGTGTCTCGAACACAGTACTGATGGAAGGCAAATATAGCCAGTTGTTGACACTTCTTTCGGTTTGGCCCTAGAACACATACCGCATATAGTATATATAT